AGGAACGTAGACTGAGGATAATATTTGGACCTAAGAGGAATGAATTAATAGAAGACTGGAGAAAGTTGCATAATGAGGAGCTTCATAAATTGTACTCCTCGCCAAATACAATTAGACTGATCATGTCAAGGAGAACGAGATGGGCAGTGCATGTAGCCCGCTTGGGAGAGAGGAGCAGTGCATACAGGGTTTTGGTGGGCAAACCAAAAGGAAAGAGACCACTAGGAAGACCTAGACATAGGTAGGAGAAAGTGGATCTTAGAGAAGTAGAATGGGGTGGTATGGACTCGATTCATCTGGCTCAAGACAGGAACCAGTGGCGGCCGTTTGTGAATACTGCAATGGACCTACGGGTTCCATATTTTATGTGTTTCTTGAGTGGCTAAGCGACTGTTAGCTTCTCAGGAAAGACTCAGTGGCCTGTCCGTGACGATTCAACATTCCTAATAATCAGGTCCGCCAAGTTACACGCTTATGAGCTAGTTTCACCCGCCTTTCGTCTTCACAACTTATCTCTCTCAGACTTATATTTCGCTGTTACCCTCCCATTTCCAGTAGTCTTACAAGTGACTGATTTCTGCACGAATTTCTTACATTATATTTGAACTTCATATACAGCCCACTGTAACCTACCTGATTTCATTTTCCTAACAACACGGGCTACTTGAATGAATGGCACATTTCCTCGTGCTCACTGTATTCGTCCCTCACTATTCGTGAACACGTCGCTTCAACGCCAGTCTTCCACTCTGCACGCGGGTCTTTCTGTCTTCTTGTAACTGATTTATCGTAAGAGAGTGCCAAGTCGGGTTTCGAATCAGATTACGAGTGTTCTGTTGGGTTGAATAGGGTTCAATATTGGATATAAACCTTGAAACCATGTAAAGGACGAAGGTCCTGGTCCTCTTTACTTCGCCTTCTATTCTTGGTGATGAGTGCCTACGGCAAAGTAGGCCTATATTTTTATGTGACGTTGTTAGAGAATCCTTTCCGAATATGGCAGAGAGAAACAAAAAATGTAGAGCTGTTTGACCTTGACTTTTAAAAAAAGTTGGCTATCGTAAAGTAGTCTTGCGTTAATATACAAGGATGTTTGAATGGCAATGGAACAAACTGCTGAAGTTTTTGTATTCGCTGGTGGCCATATTGTTAGATGGGTGTGGCTGCGTTTATGTAGTATATATTGTGCTCAAGGTCATGTATATACTAGAACGCGGCCTCTGAAATTATTTAAATTTATTCCCTTGATGAATTTGCTACCGAAATACGCATATCGTTTAACTTAAGAACAAGAACCTGAGAAGCACGGATGATGTCAATATCCTTAAAATTTAAGCTCAAGAATGTCTTCATGGAAGCATTAGTAACATGACTTATCAACCTCGAATATGAACTCTAGAAATAAAAATATTTTTTTCTTGTTGGTGTTTGAAAATATAGCTTTCAGAAAATTATTAGGACCTAGAAAGTTTAAAGTAAGAAGTGGTTAATGTAGGACACCACCTCGTACGTAAAACGGAGCTTCCCGGTTTATACACGATGCGTAAACACAAGTGGCACCCATTCTATTGGCTTTAAATCCCCATCGTAAAATGTAAGTTTCCCGTGAAAACTGTGTTAGATACCATCTGGTGCGGAAGCAAATTCAAAGCAATATAACAATTTGTGACATTTCAGTAACATTTATATTTGAGCATATACTATGGAAATTTATCAGTTCTGAATATGTATTATTAAAGTAAGGAAAATTAGCTATTTATTTTCAAAAATAATGCCAGGAATGGTTCCTTGGTCCTTGGGTGCAACGAAAAAGCTTCTTGGTCTAAGGAACAAAAAAGGTCGAACCACTCTGATCTCGGATTGATCGGTTGATCGTGTACCTCGCAGGGAGAACATGTGCACACAAAAAATAGCGCTTCTGTTAGAGAGCGGCCACTTGGAACGTCAAGATTAAAATGCAAGAAGACAGACTGTAAAGATAAGAGGCAGATATGGTATTGATTCCAGATAGTATTGTACGGCGATGTAAGATACTAGCGTTATTAAACCTTCAGATTTTGCTACCGAAGTTAGTTTAATAGTTTACTGATTCATTTATCCGTTGTCCTGCCTTGCTAAAAATATTTGAGTCTTCTCGCACTTGGCTTCACTTATAGCCTATATATTGTTCAGACAATCTTGTTTATTTCTTATATGGTGCGCTGTATAAATTGCAGATGTTATGTAAAGAAGAATAAGAAAATAAGTTATGAACATTCTTTTTTCTTTTGAGTTCGCAGGAAATTAAGCAAGGAAACATTGCCTATTTTTAAGTTTTATTCTGGTATTGTCAGTTACGACTGGGAATATTACACAGAAATTTGTTCGAACGCTCTATGTTTTTTAATGTAATACATTTAATGTAATTCTATTGGTGTATCAGGCTTGCTAACTCCATACGAAATTTAGAATATTTGCAAGATTCAACGGACGAATTCTCTATGAAAGAGTATAATCCTTTTCAAGGTTTACTTCAAAATCATGATTGTAGGTATAGGTCTTGCGTGAACTATTACATCAGCAAATGTGGCATTTCGTTGCAGAGCCGGAGTAAGGGGGGGAGGCCATCAGGGCTTTCGCCCTGGGACCTCCATAAAAGTTAAGTAGTCTCTCATCGCTTGCACTGCTAAGAAACAATCGTGATTTTCTTCGTGAAATAGACTCCACAGATATTACTGAGACATTTGCTTCTCTAAACTCACGAAAAGTTAGGTTCTATTTTAGTTATTATAAAAAATTGTCAAAACAGATTTTTGGATTATAAGTATTTATACTTAATTAATGTTTCTTTACTGGTAATTGCAATTTAACCTAAATATGTTATTTCTGATAGGGGTCTCTTTGTTTTGATTGGCCTCGGAAGTCCCCGAAACTATAAATCTCTTTGGCTAGGAGAACTCAGTGGTATCTAACGCTTAGAGACTGCATATTCAGACCAAATATGGGTGTTTCATTAGTCATTCGGCAAGTTTGACCGTTACCTGAAGTGAGGGACGCATAGCCTAGACCTTGATATTAATTATTATTGTGCACAAAAACTGGACGTTTCGTATGGAACATGAAATTTAAGCGGATAGTATATAAGAAGTTTGGATATGTAAAACAACTTAATAGAAAGCTAGTGAAGGCCACATCTAACAAAAGTTGTTGAACCCAGTATTACGACTAGTTTTATGTATAACACACACACACACACACACACACACACACGCGCGCGCGCGTACAAGGTGTCCTAGAATAAATGTTATACTTTTAAACTTTTATTTGTAACCGCAGAAATCGTAATAGTAAACAGAAATTATGGTAGTGTTGTACTGTGTTAGCAAAAACAGTAAGGCAACTGATATTAGATTTTTTCTGCAGCACTATACAGAGTCTTTCATAAATAGTGTGATATATGTTAAAGGTCGATTCGGGAGGTAATTTTAAGTAAATGTTAATCAAACAATGGTCATATTTCCAACTGCTGCGTAGCTATAGACGTTTCAATACACGGAAACAGCAAATGTCTTTATATACAGCTTATTATGGTACTATTAGTCTAGGACATTCTGAGCATAGCAGCTGTCTGTGGTGATTTGAAGCACATATAAAATCAGCAGTTTCGAGAATCACATACGAGGTGCGATCGAAATGTTTCCAGACTGTGTCAATAGAGGGCGAACCGGATGTAGTACGAGCTTCAGCCGCTAGGGGGTGCGGCCTACATTCATAGTGAATCAGTGTGCCAGCCGGCATCATCGAATTAGCATTTGTTTCTTAGTTAC